AGAGCATCTCCTCTTCTAGACAGGCGTTTGAGGAAGCTGCGGTCCTATTTCTGATCAGTAATGTTTCCTGAAACGTTTTGCTGCCTCCAACCAAGCCGGCCAGCCTGCCATTGCTCTGTAAAGAACACATAGAGCCCTGAAATGGCAAAACTCTGGGAAAGCCACATCCTGCATGGCCAGAGCAGCCAACATCTCCTGCAGGCTGTGCCGAATGGCTGGGTGCTGAAACCAAGTCATCCAAACCCTGCATCTGCCTTCACACCTGCTTTTATGCTCTCCTTTCCCATTCAGGATGTAACATTCTCAAAGGAATGGTGTTTCTCTCCCACCTCTGTTAATGTTATGTTTCCTTAGAGGGAACAGGAGACAAAAACATGATTTCTGCCCTCTTGCTGCGACGCACCAACCTGTTCCTACTTCGTGGCTCAATAACGGTGCTCTTACATGTTCTACTCATAGAAAACAGGTCAGTATCTTGGAAAGCAGCTTCCCATCCTTTCCTCTGCTGGGCAGCCCTGACTAGAATCTCCCTTCTCCAATATGCCTTGGTCTCCTGCCACCAGCTCCCCTTGGAACACTGCAGTTGTGGTAGGATACCTTTTCTCCAACCCAGAGGAAGCTCTCTGCAGGCATTCCCACTGCCCTGAAGCCCATCCGTTCCACTTTGCTGTTCTATCACCTACGTGGATGGGATGCTTGCTGCAAGGGCTGGCATTCAGCCCTCAGTTTTTCTCACTGGGGCTGTTCAGAAGGAAGTTCTCACTCCACAGAAGTTCAGTGCTGCTGACAGGAACCTGATCTCTGTGGTTAGAAATGAGTACAACCCTCAGGAAGGACGTCTGGTCTGTAGACACCATCCAGCTTCCACTTCACCCATTTCCAATGGCTTTTCCCTCTTTCTTCAACTTCCCTGCTTCATCTTTGGGTGTACATTGGAAAAAAAACCACAAAAAAACACCCAAAAACCAGCAGCAATTCCAGTGAGAGGTGAATCAGGAGAGGAAAAGAAGTTGTAGGGATTGCTCAAGGTGTTCTTATTCCCGTTTCCTTCATTACAAAAGCATCTGACCTCTGAAGAAGGTCTGTGGCAGTGGTCAGCCCTGCAGGGGCTGTCTCACACAGCAGCAAGAAGATGATGGCAAACCAGCATCACACAGACAGCCCAGCTCTTTCTGCACTGTCACACCAAGTCACTTCCCAGCTGTCTTTCACACGTGTTTAACAACCCTTGCAAGATCAGCATCGTTTAAACATTAAAGAGTCTCTTTAAAAATTCAGCAGCAAAGTTCACCCGGTTTTCAGAGCCATATTTAAAGCAGTGTAGAAGTGCACTTCTACTTTCTAGAAGTGGGCTCGTGTCCAGCCCGTGCATGGAGCTGTAAGAAGAGGCTTTGCAACCACACTGCCCTCCCCAGCAGTGCTCAGAAAAATATGTTCCCACAGTTTGCAGCTAGCATTTAACATAGCCCTGCTTGACAAAAGCTAAGCAGAAGTGGGGGCTGCTGCTTTCAGAGTCAGTAGAAGTTAAAATCCTGATGCTTTCTGCACTGAGGACACAGATCAGCAGCCCGTTCCCCAGCAGGCCCCATATCCTGCGGGTCCCTCGTGCTTTGCCTTCCCTGTGCTGCTTACATCAGCTGATGCTGCAAGTCTCTTTTTCTGGTGCAAAAGTGAGACGGAACGCCCTGCCAAGGTCGTGCAGTGAGGTGGCGGAGATCACTGACAGAGATGGAAGAAGAGATCTAATGAGCTCCAGTCCGGCACATCTTACAGCAGATTCGGTTACCTTAGCCATCAGACTGCAGATAAATAGTGTACTAATGGCTCTCTGCTACACTCACCTTTCAAGATAATGCCGAGGTGGTTGTCTGCCCAACCTCCCCATCTTGCAGCTGTTAAATGAGGCAGTCATACCTAGTTTTGGTTTATTTCATTAGGGAACAAGGGATCCCAGCCCACAGGTAGGAACTGGACTTCTGCTTTGCGTAAGAAAAACACAAAATAAAGCCATCAGGACATGGGTATTTGACCCCCAAAGCTGCCAGGCCAACAGCTGACCCTGCTGGTACTCCTCAAATTCCATCTTTGTGAGCTTACACACAAGCAGTGTGTCGAACACTGTTATGTCCATTCACAGGGACTGCTTTCATCTCCCACAGTGGCTCATGAAACACTCATTGATCTACATTTTAACAGCTCGCTATGACCTGCAGGACTCATTTGTAAATGCCAAAGACACTCCCTGTCTTCGCTGTGTGCGGGGCTCTCTTACACAGACACAAAGTGTTGTGACAGCAGCAGATTCCCTTACAATTCCCTTACAAGCAAGCTATGATACTGCAAATGAAGACAGACTCCAGACTCTCTGACAATACCAGAGAGGCCTTGCATAAATAAAACGCATCCTGTTCAAATGAGATATTCTGTGACTGCTCTGGCTGTGCTTCGTCCCTTCACACATTGCCCTTTTTGCCCCTCATAAGTTGTCACCCTGCGATATGCTGAGCTCTGCCTGATCCCACTTACCTAGGAGTAAAGCATGACACAGGTTTGTTATTCTGGGTCACTGAAATCAGCATCACCTCCAGGAGTGCATCTCCAGTCATGTTCTCTCCCAGCATTTCTCTGGAAAGGTAGCAGTTGGCAACAATGCTATTAATAGGAGAACAGAAAGTTTTCTGTGCTTGAAGCAATGGCGCATGGAATGTGAGGAGTTCAAAGAAAATGATGGAAAACAAGCAATGTGGCTGCTTTGGAAAGCAGACAAAGCCTGACACCAGGATCTCCTGTCTGATAGGAGCCTGTGTGGTTTCTTTTTCAGAGAGGTTGCCAGTAAGCTGGGGACACTGGATTGCATGGGCTTTGTGAAAGGTTAATGACTTCCCTGCTCTTTTGCAGGCATGCAGCTGAGGATACACAAAATACAGCAACCCTGGGTCAGAATCTCACTGTTTCCAACCTCTGCCACATGTGAGCACCAGCTGTGCTGTGGTTGGGCTCGGGCAGGCTTACCTCTGCCAGGCCATGACCCACTGCGAATATTTCATGTGTAATCTTCTTCTGGGGACATTAAAATACACATGGCTATGGAAGGAGCATCGAGTGCACTCTCTTTCAGAGCACAGAAACAAGCCCTGCTGGGATGGACTGCTCCTGCTGCTCTATTCTGCTCCAGCCCTCAGTTCCATACTCACACTTTGAGAAAATCCCGTCATTATTGGCGTCGGTAGCAAAACCCCCATTGACTGCCACAAGACTCTTCAGGCCTTAATAATAAGGTCAACAAGATTTGAAGGTGGAAGAGATGAAGCCACATCCGTTTTATCCTCTCTTTTTTCACTGCTGGCTCTTACACGTTCCATGGCACGCTCCTTTGCTATTAAGTTTCAGGTGCAGGTGGTGACACACAGGCTGCTCCTTCCCAGAGCCACGTTGGTTCTGTGCTCTGGCAGCCGTGGAGAGCAGTGGATGGAGACATTGCCCTCCAACAGAGCCTGCAGCCCAACGCTTCTGAAGACGTGCTGCTGTGAGCAGATTGCATCTGCCACACAAACCCCATGGGGACAGGAGGTGCTTTCCCAGACACGGGGCAGACCAAACTGGCGAGACTGGGCTCGGCTCTGTGCACATCTTAGCTGTCTTATTGCAGCTTTCCCCTGCCTGTGTAACGTGAGATGGGAACCAAGCCCTAGGGCTGAACCCACAAGAAACACCAGTAACTGCTCCTGAAACAGGAGCGCTAGGGAGCAAGCTGTGAACCACAGCACACACCAGCAAGATAAATACTGTTTAAAAGCAGCTCCTTCCTGGCTGTATTCCTGTGAGTGGTCCAAAGAACAATGTTTCCTTTTAAAAGAAGTCTTTTAATTTACATTCTGAGAGTTGTATTCAAAAAAGTCACAAGCTATGAAAGTAAATTCAATTGAAATTTCAGACTGGTTCTTTATCCGAGAAATTCCAGCACACAGTTCATTGTTTTAGCAGTGCAGAGACATCTGTGAGTACAGCAGGTATTAGTTACCATCATGATTTCTCCTAGGCCTGTACTGTAAGCTATAAAGGATGCCCTGAATCCACGCAAAGGAAAGCTAAAGTAACTGTAACTTGGTGTAACAACTAGAGTGCATCCCATTTGCCTGCCACTCCTGTATGTATCTTGCTGTCAGCTGCCAAAATACGGGAGTTAAAATGGCGTGGAGCGAGATATTTGTCCCCAAAGTCTCAGGGCACAGTGACTGCAAGCATAGCCTGCTGAGAAAGCCAGCACCTGCTGAGCAGTGCATTCATTTTATTTGCCAGTGTTCACCTCAGATCTCTACCTCGTCCATTGCTAACCATGTGCAAGCTTGCATCACACAGATCCAGCTCCCAGGTGATTCTGCAGGCTGTTATTGAGGTGTGTTTGCTATGTCTGGGCTCTGCAGAGAGCACTCAGTGCTCGGCAGCACATGGGCACCAGGTGCACACAGACATCCCCAGCAGCTTGCTGGGATGCTGCTTCTGTTTCAAGCATCGCAGCTGAGTTAAGCTATACAAAAAGAATAAAAAGAGAAGTACCTATCCCGAGACAGCTAGCACGCTACGGATTCAGCTGCATCGACGACAGCCACTAAATGCGCTTTGGTTATTTGTATGAAATACCAAAAGGAATCTGAGTCCCTTAAGTAAGTCAGTGCTCCTCTTACTACCCAGGATCCAAGCTCTAAAAGGCTGCCAGTGAAATCCAGGCTTGTGTAACCTCTTCAGAATAGTTTTCCTATAAAGCTGCAAAACCAAGAGCAGATAGCCTTGTACGATAGCTCAGAGGTAGACGCGCAGGGGAGGCTGCTGAAAAAGTCTTGGGTAGCAGTCAGGAGGAATCAGTCTCGCTTTAGAAAGTTTATTTCTTTCTCTGGGCTGCCTGGAAGCTGAAGCTCCTGCTGTGTGTCCTTGCCATCTCCCAGCACAGCAGCTGCATTATGAGCGGTCGCAGTTCTGAGCGTGAGCTGCTCGCGGGAGGTTTATGTTGGCTTTGCAGGCAGCTCCTTGGTTGGGCTCGGTGACTGCAGCTGGTCACCCTTGTTCTGGCTTGGAGGAGGAGGCCACGTGGTCTTCTGATGGAGATGGCTGAAACGAAAAAGTGTTTTTTGTAACTCGGGTGAAGGATACAAAAGATTGGATGAAGACTTTAGGATGAGAGGTGGTGGCTCTGCGTTGCGTGAGGAGAGATTCAGGTTGGATAGTAGGACAAAATTGCTCTCTGAAAGAGTGGTGAGGCATTGGCACAGGCTGCCCAGGGAGTCACCATACCTTGAGATGTTCAAGAACTGTGGGGTTGTGGCACTGAAGGACACAATTATTGGGCAAGGTGGGATGGGTTGGACTTCATGATCTCAGAGGTCTTTTCCGACACAGATGGTTCTGTGTTGCTACGACTTGCTACTGACTAGGGAAAAGGGGAGGCAGTGGATCTCACGTGGCTGATTGTGCTGGCTATCTGCTTTGTCTGAAAATGATTTTCCTAACCTCAAAATCGTGGATTGCAAACTCCTACTTTGTACCTAACTGCCTCCATGCTGGCAGACTCTAAGGTTCATTTGAGGTGATCAGTTAATACAGTTGACACAGACATTCAGGTCTCAAAAACATGCTCTATCAGCAGATGTCTTCAGGACGTGGCTCTGTTAGATGTCATTCACTTCAGAGTTTTCAGGGAAACTCTTAGAACACTGAAGATCCAAACAGAGCCACACACGTCCTATGATCCTTGGCTGGAACTTCAGCACACCATAACTCCATGGTGTAACAGCTTCATGCATTCAGTGAGGATTTTTCCCATGCTCAGAGCTCACAGTGGTCTAAAAAGTGCCACAGAGCCATGATTTTCCATCTGGCCTGAAGGAAAAAGTGCATTTTAGATCCAGGAATTCACCCCATACTTTGCTGTGCTGGGTGAGAAGGCTCTTGCTGTCTAGCAGAGGACTTCCTTCTCTCTTACAACCACATGAAGATCTCTGTCACATGATCTGGTTCAAAGTTGTCAAGGAAAAAATTTGAAAAGATAGGAGTTATGATGTAAAATGTACACAGCAAGATAGATTTTGATACCTACTCCTTGTAGTTTGGGAGCCCTTCAGCAGGCAGGCACTGGTCCCTGTCACACGGCGAAGCTGGAAGTGTAAAACCAAGAATAAGCAAAGGGTTGGAAAGGATGCCCAACACAAGTAACAGTGCTACATCGTGGTAACACACACATAAATGACGCAGGCACTCTGGAAATGCTGACATGCTCATTTTTTCGAGTGCTTCTCAAAGGCTACCATTGTTTTCCTTGCATCCTGGGCTCTGAGAGGAGGCAATGCTGGAGTGCAGCGCAGGAAAGGCTGTGGCAGTGTGCCCAGTTGGTGAATGGCATCAAAGAGCAAGGAATGGGCACACATTTGGGGCTGTATGCTCACCTGATCGTGACAACAGGATTAGAAGCTCATCTTTTGCATGGAAAGAGACAAGTAGGGTCAAATAACTGCTGCTAAGAAGCGTCTATGGATCACAGCTGAGAACCTCAGGCTGGAAAGTTAATTCAGATGCTTGGTGAATGATTTTCTCCCTTTTGCAGCCCACTGAGAGTGGAGAAGAGCCCAGGTTGCCAGACTTGTATACCAAGGAAACAGGGAGATTACTCTTCCCCTCTACTCAGCACTGCTGCACTCATGCCAGGATGGTGAATGAAGGTTTTGGTTCCCAGTTCAAAGCTGCTGAGAAGCTGGATAAAATTCAGCAAAAGCAGCCCTGGGGCTGAGAACCTGCAAGGGGAGCTCAAGGAGGGCTGAGGGAGATGAACTTATTTAGCCTGGCAAAGAGGAGGCTGAAAAGCAATCCCACAGCGCTCACTCCTACTTCAAGGGTAATTACAAAGACATTGAAGCCAAACTCTTGTTGGCAGTGGCAGACAACACAACTAGGGGCAACAGCCAAAGATTGCACCTTGGGGAGTTCAGACTAGACATTAGGAAAATCTTTTTCTGCATGGAGCACAATGCAGCTCGGGAAGACATTCTCCAGGGAGGCTGCAGACCTCCATTTTTGGACGTGTTCAAGATGCAGTTGGCTGAAAGCACTGCAGATCTGGTCTGGTGTGTTGGTCCTTCCTGGAACAGGAGATTTGACTGCTTATCTCAAGTACTTCCTTTCAGAGCGTTACTGTGATTCTATGAAACCATCCTCCTTACTCCTGGTTTCTTTGCAGGACAAGTATCTTTTCTGTTGTCCTGGGCACAAGCCACACTCTCTGACTCTTTAGACCACAAGCCTGATTGCCAGATCCATCTACAAATCATATGGGTATATAGAGGGCAATTACATCTCAGTCAGCATGAAAGAATCAGGAACATTCAAGGGAGACTTAGCTGGTACAGCAAACAAGTGGTGGAAAGTGTAATTAATGCTAACAATTAACATCATTGAGACTTGCTTGGATTTGGGTTTCTCCAGTCAGCTGAGTGCTTACCATCCTTGTTGGAGAGCATTGGTGCTAGCAGCTCTTTAGCTTCTGATAGCAAAAGGTCAACAAGATCTGAAGATGGAAGAGATGTATCTGAGACTGCCTTTGTTTTATCCTCTTCTGTTTCACTGTTGACTCTTACAAATACGGAAAGTGCCATCAATACTTCTATCATGGAACAATCATTGACAACCCTGGCCAGCTTCTTCTGAAGGACACCCTATGTGACTGCATTCAGAGGGCACTGCCCCTTCACTTCAGCAGTACAGGAATCCCTTTCAGATTTGCTTGTATTGTTACGGATAGAGATTTAGGATATACCAACAAAGTACTTTGTTAGAATTTCCATTTTGTTTTGAATTCCTCAAAACCTTATTTTCCTTCATTACTGTAGAAATGACCATCTTGAAAACCTCACCATTTTAAAGAACTGTTTCCCCTTACCATCACTCTTACAAATCAGCCTTCTTTAAGGGGCTGTTATTGCCAACAGGATCGTAACCTTTAAACAGGTGAGCTGATTTAAAACAAAAGAAAGCAAAACACGACCTGACTTCCCATAATAGAATTCTGATACAAGGGTTAGAGGAGCCCTGACCTTCCTTTCTGCAACCATTCCTGAAGTCAAGAGTCATGTTTGCTTTTTGCTTCCACTCACTCTATCAGCTTCCACAGCTGCTGACAGAGAACTACATGGCCCTAAAGCCAAATAGTGATTTATATTAGGAAAAGCAGGTGAGTCACAACTCTGCTTCACTCAAACAACTTGCTAAGGGGCTGTGCTAACAGGAGCAGCTTAACCACAGGAGTGCTTCACCTACTCATTTCCCCCCAAAACAGAGGCCAGCTGCCCCTAAAGTACCAACTCATCTGCAGCCCCCACAGCATCATTTCCCAATGGTTTCCTTCCCAAAGTGACAGCACAGGTCGGTTCTGTGCGAATCACCTTCCCCTGAGAAAGGTCAGAAAATGAAATGTTCCTGGTTTGCAGTTCCCAGAAGCCATCTCCTACCTTTTCTCATCCTGTAAGTGACTGGGTGTGCTCAGGACCTTGTGAACGTTCTGCCATAAAACAAAAACAAAACAAAATTAAAGGTTTCAGACTTGTAGGGACGAATAATTCCTGAGAACAAACCCCATGGGCTTCTGCTGCTGATCAGATTTAATATGACAGTAATCAGCTTCTGCTTATTCATTGCCCTTGAAGCAAATATCTCAAGGCCTTTTGCAGCACAGGCATTCACAGCCCATGCAAATACACAGACACTTCTAAATTATGCATTTTAATGCCAGCAGATAAAGTATACTGAACGCAACATAAAAATACTCTCCCAAAGAGTGGCTTGGCAGCCTACATTTCAGCAAGCCCACGATCATCACTACCAAACAATCCCTGCTTTCTGAATGGTACCTACACGTGTAATTTCTCCCTGTGGTTAACGAATGCTCAAATACTACTGAGGGATGTATAACAAGGAGACATTTTGGCCCTGGAGATTAAATCCTGTGATTTTTGTCCCTTGGTCCAAGCCAAACCCGCTTGCAAAGTCCAGCCTGAAACTTCACACAGCCCAGCTTCTGGTGCTGCACATCCAGAGGTGTTTAAATTCATAGAATCCTACAATGCCCTGGGTTGCAAAGGAGCACAGTGCTCATCCAGCTCCAACCCCTGCTGTGTGCAGGTCGCCAACCAGCAGCCCAGGCTGCCCAGAGCCACATCCAGCCTGGCCTCAAATGCCTGCAGGGATGGGGCATCCACAGCCTCCTTGGGCAACCTGTGCCAGTGCCTCACCACCTCTGGGTGAAAAACTTCCTCCTAATATCCAACCTAAACCTCCCCTGTCTCAGTTTAAAACCATTCACTTCCTTTCTCTCCACTGCTGATTTCAAGAGCTCCAGGGACAAATTATTGCTAGCTGTAGCATTTGGAAGTCCTAATGCTTCCCATGCTGGCTGGTTTACTAGCTACACAAGCCTGTATTCCCACCACAGGCAATGAATTGGAAGAACAGACAATTAAAAGAAAGCTCTGGAAGAGTAAAACTGCTCCTCAAATTCATGCTTGCTGTGCATAGAAGCAACCAATGTGTTTTACACAAAGCTAAGGCCAAAATGCAAAATGATTCTGACTATCATGCCAGGGGACACGTGTGATGGGCCAGGCTCCATCATCTGCCCCACGCCATCACAGAGCTTGTGGGTACATGAGCATCTTTGAGCTCACTGCTCAGCTTCTCCTAACCAACACGCAGCGCCTTGTTAGAAGCAGAAGGAATAAAACAGCCTCTTGCTTATGGACCAGGAAATTAGTTGGACTTGCAAAATCCCTCATAAAGGAAGAGGCCACAGTGATGCCAGCAGTGCTGGTGGCAGCTCAGCACATCACCTGCACAAACAGGAGCAGTTTCCTATTGCAGATCTCCAGGCGCTTCCGTGAGACTTCGGATTTCCGTAACTGGCCATCAGCCAGGGACAGCTGTCTTTTCAGCTCCAGGATGTCCTCCTGTCCAAGAGAGAAAGGTGATGAGGACACTCCAGCCCCAGCTTTTGGAAATGCCAGCTTATGGCATTTGCTATAAAGAGAAAGCCACAGTTCTCTTGGAATGGACAGTGGGAACGGTACAGAAAACAGTGCACACCCAGAGGCAGCGCTGGCCTTGTAGAATACAGCAAGTAATGTACATATGCTACCATGATTTTCTCCTTTATAAGGAGGGGGTGGAACCTCCAGAGAAGGATCTGGAGTGTTGTTCAGTCCTGTCTGTGTGCGTCTGTATTCCCAGGCTCAGGAGTTTCATTACCTCTATCTCAGAGGCGTGTTTTGCTTTCTTCCCTGCCAGCTGCATCTTCAGTTCTGCAATTTCAGCTTCCAGCAAGTGGATCACTTCCTCATAGTCCTGCTCTGCACTGTGTGCCTGTCTCTGCACCACCTCGGCCATCTGCAGCTTGCTGTGCAGCGTCCGGTTCTCCGAAAGGAAGCCCAGGGCTTTCTGGAAGCAGTGAGAAGCAATGTGAATGCACTGCATCCCCCTTCTGGGTCAGGGACAACCTGAGGGTGCTTATGTTAAAAAGAATAAAGAAGAAAAGAAGAAAAAAAACCCCAACATTTTGTTCCACATTCAATGAGCCAGCTCTTCACTCACCTGGTTCAGCCTCTGGAGCTCATCTTCCATTGACTTCTTACTGTTCTCCACCTCTTTCAGGAGAGACTAAGGGAAATATTTTCACCAGATTAGAAGCAGCAAGTGGTAGGACATCCTCTAAAAGGGATCCTGGTCTTTTAGGAGGAGAGGAGAGGAGAGGATAGGAGAGGAGAGGAGAGTGTTTGGGGTCTATATGGAGGAGAGGTCCCACCTTCAGCCTTCGGACTTCTTGCCGCAGGTCGGTCATCTCCAGCTGCAGCTGCTCCATCTCCTCATTGCCATTACAGCTGAGCGAGTCAAGGGTCTGCAGGCAGAGGGCAGAGGACAGGCAGCTTTAGGCACCGCTCGATCAAAACCAGCAAGTTGTGTTGCAGGTGCATTGCTTTCCACCCCTAGAATAGCTATAAATCGAACTAATTTGGAAAAGGAGATGACATTTGTAGGAAGAAGATCAAAAGGAACACTAAATAATTCAACTGAAGGCTTCCCCTCCATCCCAGTATTTGAGTCTCTGATCCCTGACAGACACAGAGTAGCTGTTCTACAGTGAATTTTCATTTTGAGCCAAGCAAAATGAGTTGGAATGCATTAATTAAGGCTGGTTTTCCTTCTGCATCACTACGACTGACACAGGCTGCTGCTTTCACATCACCCCATAGGAGCTGTTGTTTCTTTATTAAAAGAGATGAGCCTGCTACACAGTTTCATGGAATTTGATCACAGAATCACAGAATGCCCTGGGTTGCAAAGGAGCACAATGATCACCCAGCTCCAACTCCCTGCTGTGTGCAGGTCTCCAACCAGCAGCCCAGGCTGCCCAGAGCCACATCCAGCCTGGCCTTGAATGCCTGCAGGGATGGGGCATCCACAGCCTCCTTGGGCAACCTGTTCCAGTGCCTCACCACCCTCTGGGGGAAAAACTTCCTCCTCGTATCCAACCTAAACCTCCCCTGTCTCAGTTTAAAACCATTCCCCCTTGTCCTATCACTACCCACCCATTTAAACAGCCATTCCCCCTGCTGTTTATACGCTCCCTTCAATTATTGGAAGGCCACAGTGAGGTCTCCCTGGAGCCTTCTCCTTTCCATGCTAAAGAACCACGGTACAGTTTGGGTTGGAAAGGACCTTACAGCCCATCCAGCCCCATTCCCTGCCATGGGCACGTTCACCTCCCATAGATTAGGCTGCTCAGGTCCTCATCCATGGCCATGGACACCTCCAGGAATGGGGCACCCACAGCTTTCTGGTCAGCAGTGCCAGCATCTCACCACCCTCTAGGCCAAGAATATCCTCCTAATACCCGACCGAAATCTTCCACACCCAGCCCTGCACAACCTCACATCAGCTCCTCAGGAGCAGGGCTGAAGGACACGCACTGACCGGGGAGTGGAACGCTGACGTATCCAGCAGGCTGGCCACCTCATGCTGCGTGAAGAGCACAGAGCTGGAGTCCAGGCCAGCCTCATCCAGCTCGTCCTGCATCACATCCCTGAGTGCTTGGAGGAGATCTGAGGCAAAAAGGCAGGAGACAAATGCAAGAGCTTGGGGAAACCCATTGGCTGCCAAGAGCGGGTTTAGAAACACTTATAAAAATACATATCCTGAATATATATATAATTATAATTTAGAATCATCTGTTGGAACACCGTGGTTCTCAGAGTTCCAAACATTTGAACCCAAAGCAGCATTTCCCTGCCCCACATCATCCACATGCCTGCTGGTGTTCCTCCAGCCTAAGCAATGCAATCCAGATTGATGGCTTCAGCACTTGGGAGGAGCATCGTATTGATGGGTGTGAACACCAAGATTTGGTCTGCAGTCAGGTGCAGTGGGGAGGAGGCACCTTTGGTGTCTGCTACTCATTATAACTGCTTTCAGGCTACATCAGGGCTCAAATGAGTGTTTCTGCCCAGCCTGCTGCCTTCCAACAGCTGTTTCTCTCCTCTTTCAGCCATCACCAAGGCTGCACAGACACTAAAAGCCCACGGGGAGCTGCCTGCTCACCTCCATAGGCCACCGTCCCCTGCGAGTCTGTGGTCAGGCTCTGCCGCAGCTGCCTCTTCTTCTCCTCTGTCACCTCCAGGCCGAGGTACTGCAGAACCTGCCTCAGGAGCAGCAAGCACTTAATAGAAAAATACTAAATAGAAAGAATGGTTTGAAACATGTGCTGGGAGCACACGGTGCTGGGTTTCTCCTGGAAGTGGCTCCAGGCACCAGCTGCTGCAGGAGCAGGGTTGGGCTGGATTTCCAGTCTCTCCTTTCCTACAGCTGCACAGCAATGCCTGTTCCAGGAGATATATTCACGACTCTCCAAGAGCATTTTATGCAGATGGCAAACAGATTTGCAGCTATTTAATGGGCAGGAGCTTTATTAAATGCTTGGAGTTCTTTCTCTTGCAGCCTGAACCGTGCTTGGGATTGAGAGGATAAAAACTATTCACAGCATATTTCCTGAGGCAAGAGGAGACATTCAAATACTTTCCCTCTTCACTGCACCTATTGCTCTCATTACGAGGATGCTCCTGCAGATATTTATCAACCCAAGCCCTGGGCACTGCACAGAGGTGGCTAAACCTGTGCAAACACCACTTTGGTGCCAGAGGCAACGACTAAAAGGCTTTAAAAGACAAATTCCAGCTCAATTGAGAAGCTGGGAATGAGCTGGGATTGAAGTTAAAGCTGCACCCTTGTCTCCTGCTGAAGGGTCCAACACTCCCCGTGGGTGCCCCCACCGTGTCCTGGTGTGCACAGTGTGCACCCCTACCAGAGCTACAGCAGCCAGCTCTTCCAGCAATGGATTCTGGAAGGGGATGCCAAGCACCCGAGCTCCTCGCGTTGTAGAGTCTGGTTTATAGGCAAGGCCGGGGCAATCCTAAATCCCTGTCTCAGAGAACAGGAGGTGGGATAGAGGAGAGGATGGGATGGAGGAAAAGGGGATAGGGGAGAGGATTGAGTATGGAATGGGATAGAATGGGATGGGTTGGGGGAGAGGATAGGGGTTAGAGGGTAGGACAGAGGGTAGGATAGAGGATAGGATAGGACAGAACAGAGGACAGAGGATAAAGATTAGGATGGAATGGGATGAGGAGAGAATAGGGGATAGGATAGAGGAAAGGAGAGCATAGAATAGGACAGAATAGAGGATAAGGGATAGGATAGAGGATGGGATGGAATGGGATGGGATATGGTGGGATGGGAGAGAGAATAGGGGATAGGATAGATGATAGGAAGGGATAGAGCATAGAAGAATAGGACAGAATAGAGGATAGAGGATAAGGGATAGGATAGAGGATGGGATGGGAGAGAGAATAGGGGATAGGACAGGGGATGGAGGGCAGAGGATAGGATAGGATAGGGACTAGAAGAGAAGAAGGGAGAGGAGGAGAACTGCGGGTTTAGGGTAACTCAGCAGCCCGTTTGCGGGCAGGAGCTCCGCGCTGCCGGGCGGTGGCAGCAGATGTTCGCCGGAGCCCCGCACTGCTGAGCGCTCCCGCACTGCTCCTAAAAAAGCAGGGCCCGGAGGGGAAAAAGAAGTACATGCACCCCAAAACCAGAGCAGGGAGCACGGCCTTCACGACAGACAGCGACAGACAGCCGAGGGAAGGAATTGCTGGGGGCTCTGGGGCTGCGTGCAGCACTGGGAGGGGGCCAAGAAGAACCAAAGTTCTTCCAGCCCCTCTGGGCACGCAGCTGGGATGCTCAGTGCTCCCTGCTCTCCCTTTGCAGCTCCTAAAGCTGGACACAACCTCCAGCAAACTCAACTGAAGAGTCGAGATGCAGGGCTTTTCCAGAATCTTCAGTAATGATCGGATTGATTAATTGCAGCACGTGAGCAGAGCAATGGCACCATGGAAATCAGCACTTTGAGCTCCGTGTACCTGGGCTGCTGCTGTCCCTGGGGGGTTCAGGTGAGAGCAGAGGGGACTAAGGCTGCAGCAGCCCCTGCTTTGTGCAGGATGGTGTGTGCTGCTTAGAGCACTGATGAGGCACAGCAGCTTTATTCTGTGCAAACAGCCAGGCTGATTCCCTACGATCATTTCTATTCCGTTTTGCCATTTTTAATCCCTCTGGAAAGCAAGTGACACAGTGACCTCAATGCTAACACCTGGTGCAGTCCTCCCATGCAATATCAATGCAAAATGGAAAGCTCTCAAACCATTCCCAGCTCAGCACCAAGTTTTGCTGCGTCTGCTCTCAGCTCAGGGCCAGATTCCTGCAGCAGCATCCCAGGCAGCGTGCAGATCACCCACCCACCCTTAATTAGTATTCAGCATAGGGAGGGACTGGTGGCACATCCATGGGTGTTTTTCTGCACAGAGCACCCCAGGAGGACAGGGAGGAGATGTCACTTTGGAACCATGCACTCACCAGCTCCAGCTTGCCATCCTTGAGGCGAATGTGGGGATCCAGTGCTACTTTGGGTTTGGAGCCCGTGGCTGCTCTCAGGCTGGGGGCTGAGCAGGGTGCTGAAACACCAAGGGGAAATGTTAATGGAAGGGGGCTTGGGTAGAGGAAAGAAATGCCTGCAAAGCACCGTTCAGGTTATATAAAGTAGAATGTGCATGCAGCAGAACACAACTGAAGAGCAGGATTTGTTAAATGTGGTCCCAGGCACTGGGGGGGGATGGCAAACCCCTACTAAATGTGGGCTTCCTCATGGTTTAAAACTGGATGCTCTACCTGAGGACCACAGACTGCCAAAATGCCACTGAGGAACTTTCCAGCCATAAGTTTTTGGATTCCTGGGGTCTGTAATTAAAAGAAGAAATAAATCTACCTGGATCTTGTCTAGGCTAATTGGTTAAGCAAAACCAAAAGCTAAGGAGCAAAGTTGTATGATTGGAAGCCTTGGCTTTTCACAACTCTCATGGGATTAAGCAATGTGGGAAAATACCAATGCAAGACTTCTTCTCTCCCCAAGACTGCAAAAAGCCTTGGGCTCCTTTCCCAGGCTGCCCAGGCAGGATGTTGGGGTGGGAGCTGCATGCACTGCAGCTGAAATGTTCCTGTGAGAGGAGAAAGGGCAGCAGCTGTGCAGGTTGGAGCTATCTCAAGTTGGAGAGAACCCTCTGCTGACAGCTGGCTGCTCCCTGCAGGTGCCGTTACCAAAGCACAGTAGTGATACAGGGCCCAGGTAACACTGCCATGGCACTTGTGCTTCTCCATCCCTGGGGGAAACCCCCACAATTAACCCTGGGAGAAGCTCAGGGTGGCTCTGCTCATCCTACAGCATGGCAATCCCTCATCGTGCCAGCAGCACAGGATTCTCCCAAGGACCAATTCTTCTTTCCTGCCTGAGATCTGCTTTACAGCCTGGGCTCCCATCCCTGGCCCAGCCCTTCAGTGATGCCCGACAGGCACACGCCCCTCATCCTAATCCCAGGATTCATCTGCTCTGCTAATGGCAGCAGCTGGGAAGCAGGAAGATGTAACACATGGGGATTGGCCACCTGCACTTCACTCCCCAAGTTCAAGGGCAGAGCTGTTACCTCTGAGCATGGCTGATCAGGATTAGCTCAGCGAGGCTCTGCTGTCAGCTCTGGACATGCGGATATCCAGGGCGTCTGCTGGTCTCCCACCTCCAGGCAGTCCTGTCCTGGGCTCTGAGCATGGCTTGCTGCTCTTTCAAAGCCACTTGTCTGCTTTCATGGGTGACAACACCAACACAAAGCCTTCCCGGCACTCGGCATGAAGCAAACGTGTGTAATAAAATCCCCCAGCTAAGGCAGGAAGCAATTAGGTCATTGCTATTTTGCTGGATTGCCTCCATGGCCTGGGGGGGTTTTCTCCCCATCACTGAAAGCAATGCCTGCTGGTTGTGGCCACACAAAAGCCTCTCTGAAACCAAGATTGTGCCTGCTGGGGACTCACTGCCATGGTAACAAAGCCCACCTTTCCGGGCAGAAGTAACCTCTGAACCACAAGAATATATGGGATCTTGTGAAAGTAATCTCCCCAGACCCAGAATCATTTGAGCTTTCCTGTTATTCCTTTACGGAAAGGTGAATCTGCATGGGGATCTGAGCTCAGCCCCCCACTGCCAGCCCCCTGGGGACAGCGTGGGGCTGTGCCACCAGGTTACCAGCTCACAGAGGGCTCAGAGCATGGAGAGCATGACAAAGTAAGCAAAAATAAAGCTTGGACATAAGAGAAACCTGACACTCTCATCTAGAAGCAACTTTGATTTGAACACCTGAGAGCAACCTGAATGCCTGCACAGTGTCTGGGACTGCCATCTGCAGTGCAACTTTGTGGAACTTGCCTTTTTGCTGTGCTGTGTCTCCATGTATCAACTCTTTGTTCATTCCCATCAGAAGGGAATGCTGCCTGCAAGGATCTTTTTCACCTGGGCAAAGGTGCTGCTGCAAACAAACCCATGGGACAAGCGGTGTCTTCTGTTGCCTGTAGGAGACAGCACTCCTCCAAACCTCTTAGAAAAGACTTTTGCTATTGTGGATAATAAATCAATATGGGCATAACCACCTTCCCTATGTCCTATTGGGATGAGTGTCATTATCACAACATCAGATTCCACTACAGCAATATAATTATTGCTGTAGAAATGAATCTCATTGTCCTCAGCACCGAGGAGCCACAGCTGTGCTTGGGACCAGCGCAGACCCAATGAGGAGCAGGACTCTTACCTGAGACAGTGAGCTCTGGTGGGCAGATATCTGGTGACAAAGAAGGCACAGGAAAATGGTTTTCATGTCTACTCTAGAAAAAGAAGACAAAGAAGGCATAGAAAATCGCTGAGCATAATCTGGTGGTGTAAACAGAGAGCAGAGGAGCTCAGGAGAGAGCAACCCAGCTGTCCCTGAGCCATCCCAAAGTATCTGCACACAGAAAATGTGAGTTCATCGTTTCTCTAACTGCAATTGAGAGCTGAGGATGAATTTGGCCTGCTGAGCTTTCTCTGTAGGGGTTCTCCCTAAGCCTCTGCACTCAGGACACCAGTGAGGTCCTCATTCTGACTGTGCTCACCCCAAACATAACTCAGACCGATGTGACAGGAAGCAGAGATGTGTGCCCACCCTTTCTCAAGTAGCAGCTTGTGGGCTGAAGCCTGAGGATGAAGGGAAAGGAGCCACAGCCCAGCTGAGCTGAGACTTCATTAGGAGTTCCATCTTTTAGCAACAAAGTGAGGAAAGGAGAAATTTAATTCCAGCCAGCAGTTTATTTTCACATACACAGAGAATTACACAAGCTGAATGATAAAGGATCTCTCCATACTACTCAGCTGTGTATATTTAGGCTAAGGCTGGCTTTCATAAGCAAGTCTGCAGCTTGGCACAGCCAAAGGCAACATGTGCTTGGCATTCTTGCAAGTCTGTGTCTCCACAGGGTCCGGAAAAGAGAACCTTTTGGGAATGATGCTCATACAAAAGGAAACACCATCCAGTCTTCTCTTATGGCATTAGAGGTGGAAAAGGGCGGGCGACACACCAGGCATTGCAACAATCCAGGAAAGGAATGCTAACTGCACACAGCCCAGCCACAGGCCTAAATTATCGTGGGGGTTGCATGTTTCAATCCTGTATCACTGTGCACAGCTCCAGCCCTCACCTCTGCAAACACAGCAGAGAGCAAGGAAGCGTGAGCCTGTCTTATCATTAGGCTGGCAAGGAGTAGACATGGGCTGCTTAGGAATGCTACAGGTTCATCCTCATCAGAGGTCTTTAAGAACAAAGAGTTGTTGCTGCCTTAGGAAGGAAACTAGATCAAACCGACTCTCGTAATCCCTTCCAGCCCTATGGCTGCTGGGGAATGAGATGCAGGTTGCTATCCAGGTCGTATTGTTTTTTAAACCTGAGACTCCTGAAACAGGATGGAGGCTCTGGAGACAAAGCTCCTGTCATTTGCCCTAAACCCAAGACAGAAGACACAATATTTCAGGTTTAAAATACCCGATTGCAAAACAGAGCCGTATACGCCAACGCTACAGGCTGTGCACAGTCCAGAAATAATAGTATAACGTCCCCAAAAAAGGGGCCTTTTTGATGAAAGGCAGATCACAGGACTGTGGTCTGTGGTCTCAGACCTGAATGTTCAGCCTACCTCTGGGGACCTCACGTGGACCTTCAGTCTGCAGGAGCTCAGCCCATTTCCCACAGCCTTCGGTGGTGGCAATGGGATGCTGTTATGAGCTGACAGTCCGGGATGTAACCGTCCCCTTCCAGGAATAAAGGCCACTTCTGTGTTTCCCTCATGTCTGAAACGAACAACAGAGAATATTTCAAGAATGAATAAAGTACGGCTGAAATTTGTAGAACTTTTGTGCCCGTGTTTCTTTCTCCAGGCCAATCTCACTTAAGCCAATGGAATCCACACCAGTGTGGTGGAATCTCCACCAGCTGGGTTGTTTGCTGGGGCTGAAGTTCTATAGAGCAACCCTGTTGGGCAGTGATGGGGGATATTGCACTGGCAGGGTCTGTGTTACACTTTGGGTGGTCCAGGCTGTCAACATTTCTTTGTATCACAGCAACCTTGAAGTGCCATTCAAACAAAAAGAGCATCCTGCTTCCTGACGCCAAAGGTTGGCAGGACATTAAGTGTTTCTCCCCAAGACTGTTACACTGTGATGATAACAGGAGATGTACTGCATGCCTACCTGAATTTGGCTTTTGCAATAATTTTTCTGGCCTCTTCCAGTGTGCTGCCCACCAAAGAATCTCTGTTGATAGCAATGAGTTGGTCACCGGGTCGGAGCCGACCGTCCTAAACAAAGAGAAAGAGCACTGGGAAAGAATGTCCCTCTGCCCAACTCCTTCTCCTGCAATACAAATCTCCATTAATCCGTGCCATGCATTATTCATCCCTCTGTTTCAGAACAGCTGGAGCTTCTAGAAGTCGTCATTCAAAGGCACTGAGGGTTCCTACACTGACTTACCTTGTAGCAGTCACCATCTGGTGTAAGTTCTTGGACATAAACCATGGGACCATCAGGCCTGTTGGCTCCACCACTGACCGTCAGCCCTAAGCCAGAGGACTTTGCTATAGAAATGCTCTGGATTCCTGATTCAGTGGAGTAGCTGCAAGGCAGAGAGGTTAGCGAGCGACTCGAGGTGACCTGGTTTATTTCCCCACGTCTCTAGACAAACTCTGCCTGGTTTTCTTTATGCATAGGGTCCTCCCAGCTTCTCCTGATCTTTTCTGCCTCCGCATCTCTTTATCATAGAATCATAGAACGGCCTGGATTGAAAAGGACCACAGTGATCATCCAGTTCCAACCCCCTGCTATGTGCAGGGTTGCCAACCAGCAGCCCAGGCTGCCCAGAGCCACATCCAGCCTGGCCTCAAGTGTATCCAGGGATGGGGCATCCATCCACCCTGCATGTAAGGGAGGAGGTGAGGACTCCAGTTTCTCAGCAGACACTGTTTATCATTAGGAAGATAATTGCCTTGCCTAATCCTGAACCCAAAGCACACTAAGAATTAATGAGGTTATCATTCAAAATCCAACCTAAATTACCAGACAGGTTAGCTAGCTGCTAAACATCCATAGCAGGAGTCAAAGTGAAGCTCACAGCTGACTTGATATCTCAGCTAAGTTTGGCCTCAAAGCCTTGCAAGGTGCCTTGAGAATCAGGCTCTCAAACACCTCCGCAGCAATAACAGCCACACAGTAAGAGTGCTTAGGAACCCCACAGTGTGCTGCTGTGCTCTGGGCCGACAGCAATCCGTGCCTCAATGCACCATGCACCTTAAAATACAAAAAATCACTGTCCTAAGAAATGCAGAACCCCCAGAGGGGGTTAATGGAGGAGGGAAGATGCCTGCTTTATCCAAACCAGCTGCCAAGGAGATGAGCTGGCCTCTCCTCTGAAAGGGTCTCTCACTCTGTACAAGCAGCTTAAACCTCTGGTGCCAAATATTTGTGCTCTGCAAATCCCTAATAAAGGGCTGATATTTAGCAAGAGGATTTACTGGTTCTGCAGCGAAGCCTGATTCTCTGCAGCAGCAACTCGACTTGTTTACAGTGTCAAAGGAAGAGGAGCTGTGGGCCCTGGGGACGAGAGGTCCCAATTCCAGCACTGCTGACACCCTTCATGTTGCGCGTCTCTCAAAGGTCAACCCCACGCACCCTGGAGAGGAGACTCGGCCAAAAACAAGCTCTGCCTGCCCAAACCTCTGACCCTGCGAAATATGAAAGGGCCAGATGACCACATGAAAACACACACTCCAGGAAACGCTCCCAAGGCCAAAGGACGAGGTGTCTGCAGTTGGCCACGGCTCACGGCAGCGCGCAATGCTCTCGTTGCACCGTGTCGGTGTGCCAGGAGCAGGACAGTGGGAAATGTGCTCTTCAGGCACCTCCTGATGGCATTGGGGGCCTCGCAGAGGTGCTCAGTGGGGTTTGGGGAGGCAGTGGGTACCATCCTCATGGTTGGTGGGAAGCCACAACTTCTCCCCATGTTTCAGAGAGGAGGAAGATGTGTGGTTGTGTGGTTAACCAGGACCCAAATGTGTTGACCATTTTGTTGAGGAAGCTTTTCAGCTTTTGGGGTACAGGTTTGCCAGGAAGAGGAGAGCTGTTGCTGTGACAAGAACAGCAAGGTGACACTCTGGAATGGATACTGAAACAGTAAGCCATTGTGGTGATGCAATAGCATAGCAGACATAAGGATGAACAAGCCATCCTTTGAACACTGTATTCAAATTCTGTTTTTCCCTCTAAAACAAAGTTAGACATATGGTGGCATCTTTCTGACAGCAAGTGGTCTGGAGCTCCTCACTTTTTACTGTACACATGTCTCCTTAAAGAAACCACGTCCCAGCAACTTACTACCAGCTGCTCATGAAAACCAGTGCATCCAAGCCTTTAAAAACCTGGCAGTGCAAGGCTAATGGTTGGACTCAATGACCTTAGAAATCTTTTCCAACTGAAATGATTCTATTCTATGATGCTATGAAAAGCACCACGGGCACCTTGCCTTGCTGACTTGTGAGAGCAGATCACAGTGGTGAGTGGGTCACTGCACCATGGCACCCTGGGGCCTGGCTGTACGTACTGAGCGTGGGGTGCATGCGCCGGGTTGCCGATGAAGGGGCCGTGGGAGCTGGCTGGGCTCAGCAGCAGCGGGCTCTGGGAGCGCGAGGAGGAGCCTGAGGATGTGCTTTCCAGGTATCGACCTGAACAGCAAAGTCACAATCAGTTCAGGGAACAAAAATTCACCAGTACCACCCTCCTGCTTTGCTCTACTGTCAGCAGCTGGTAGTGGCTGGCTTTCAAGCTCCTGGGGAAAACCACATAGGAAAGACACATTGCTTGTGGAGAGGAAGCATTCAGCATCCTCAGTACAAGTGCAGCATGGGGCTGTCACCCCGCTGTCTGCCACAGAGAAAGGGCTGCCAGCCTTCTTGTGGCCTGCCAACCCAGAAAGACATCTATCCCCATGCATGTGTGACTTGCCATAATGGCACCTGGCTTAGCTTAACCTTGTCCCTCATTAAGCACTTTCCCTTTGCAGATGACAGGTATTGCTGGGATTACCAGACCAGCACTTCAGTTGAGTCCAAGTATCTGGAAAGCTGTTATGGCCCCAGCTCAATCCTCCCAGAATTTACAAAGCAGGTGCTGACTTGCTGCTTCGTTCTGCATAGGCAAAACCAGCTGTGCCCTGTGTGCCCTAGGAGATCATTTCCTTCAAGCCTTCACCCAAAGTAAATCAGACTAGAACACATCCAAAATAACTCTGAGACAAAGAAAACTCTCTTGGCAGAAGGATGAAGGGCAGCCATGGAGCTGCTGGCACTGGTACTCACTGCCACCATGCAGGACTGGTGAGCTCCGTGCAGAGCCGGTGTTGCTCTGGGAGCCAAACTTCTCCAGCAGCTCTGAGAACTCCCTCCTGGAAAGCAAAACATGGAATGGGTCAGCAATTGCTGCTCAGAAGAGTTTCCCACCACGCTGTATGACAGCAGTGCCCTCATGCAGTGACTTATTACCAAGCCCACAGGGCTGGCTCCCTCCAGCACTGAAGGGCAGGCAGAGATTTCTCACACCTAAACCCTGCAATCTCAAGAGGTTGCCTTTGTTAATGCTTTGCTGCCAGGCTGAGTTTGACAACACCTGTAGGTCCTTGCTGGGCCATGACTGCTCACGTATGAGAGATGTTGCTTCGCGACCTTCCTTTCAGCAAGTAGAACGTGTTGAGTTCTTAAGCTATTAAGACCCACCATTAGCCAGGTTTACCAGCTCTTGCATCATTTCTGTAATCCTTCTTTGAGCTGCTGTGAGCCTCTCACATCCCTTTGGACGAGGAGGCACAGAAAGGGGATGCTGGGGTCAAGCACCATCCTCACGCACCCGTCCATGCTGCGTCTGCTCTTTGGGCAACGCAGCTGCCGTTGCTCTGCTCCTGTGCCATCCTCTCCCTTCATAACCCAACGCTTCCCAGCCAAGCCAGCCTTCACTCAGTGAGAAAAGTCCCAAGGCTGACTCATTTCTTCCGGGTGTCATTACAGTCAGAGGAGAGACCCTGAAATTGGTGCTTCTGTGGCAGTGGCAGCGTTAGGTGTCCGCTTTGAAGGCAGGAGGGAATCCCCACGGGAAGGCGGCCGGCTGACAGCACAGCCACATGAAAAGCCGAGCGATGAGCAGACAGCTCTCACAGCTGACAGCCAGTCCTGCCCAGGACACAACCTGCAGGAAAGCCACTGCAGCAGCAGTTTCCTCACTGAGCAGCCTGCTCTTGCACACCGACAGACGTTGTGTCATCGGCATGCTCTGCTGGGGAGGTGTTACGTGTTATTGGCCAGGTTAGAGTCAACAATATAAAATGATGAGTAAATCATCAGCTCCTTGGGATCCTGCTGGAAGTGCTCTTAGTAATTTAAGTCTTCCCATTAACAACCAGCTCTTTAACTAACATCAAAGCACAACGTCTGCCTTATCTCCTATTGCCATCAAATGTATGCCTTATTCATCCCTGTTAATGCTAATTTAAATCCAAGTATCACAGGGCGCTTAGTGGAATGTCTCAATGGATCCAAATATTTTGCATCGGCACTGCTGTCTCTATCAACCAAACCTACGACCTTAAAAGAAGACAAAACTGGTTTGTTCCAAAACCTTGTTTCCCATAGAGCTATTTCAAGTGGCAGCTTCGTAGAAATAAGACACCGAGCACCGAGTGAGTTGAAGGACAGGTTAGAAAGATCCTATAGGCACTCACTGGGGTTTGGGGAGACAACGGGTACCATCCTGATGGCAAACCACAGCTTCTCCCCATGTTTTAGGCAGGAGGAAGATGAGTGGCTGCGTGGTTAACCAGAACCCAAATCTGTTGACCATTTTGCTTGGGCAGCTTTTCAGCTTTTGGGGTACAGGCTTGCCAGGAAGAGGCAAACTGCTGCCTGACAAAGATATTCAAGGGACACCCTGGAAGGGGGACATTAACAGTAAGCCATTCCAAAACCTCGCTTCTGTGAAGCTACTCCAGCTGGTAGTTTCTAGTTTTAAACACTGAAACATGTCCAAGCACTGAATAAGTTGAAGGATGGCTTGGATAGATCCTATAGCAATGGGATGCTGATTTCCCATCCCATGCTTTCCTTAGGATAAGCCTTGAATGTATCTTCCTTCAGCAGAAATTTCCCAATTTTCCAATAAAAGCCTTGTATTTTCACAGAGTATTCGGGTCCCCATTCACTGGTAACTCATGTGCTGATGGATGGAGTCATCCCTCTGTGACATACTGTAATGGCAGGGCTAACTTGCTAGAAGCTAACATGCTATTTCCAGTGATTACCTAGCCATCAGCAGCTGGCTTTTTGTTTTGGGCTGGGTGTTTCTGTGGTCATCCATTGTTACATTTTCCCCAGATAATAATTCAGCAGAGCATGGGGCAGGTTATGAACTTAAAACAATGGCTACAAAATTCTTAGTCAATGCAAATGCAACTGGTCCAGCAGCTCCTGTGTTCTTCAGCCCCGCCAAACAATGCAAGCCCAATCAACAGCCCGTGCTGTCAAACCTTTTGTTATGAGCAAGGACAGGCAAGGCTGGGACATTCTTTTATGTTATTTGAGTTTTGTTCATCCACAAAGTGAGGCGTCCAGCCCAGCCGCTCGCTGGAGGGACAGGTGACAACCTGCGTCGCACGCTGCCCTCATGGCTCCTGCTTTGTTGGTCAGTACTGCAAACAGCAATGAAGGCATAAAGATATGATTAACTTGAAGGTTATCCCAGCAGCAAGCAATGCACTGTTCTTTACTCAGTGTTGTATTTGAATTTGAAGAGAATCTGGAGAAGAGAGAGCTCCAGGGAGACCCAAGAGTGGCCCTTCAGCATCTAAAGGGGCTGTAAGAAAGGAGACAGACAGTCTGCTGGGAGAGGAAAAGAGAAAATGGCTTCAAACTAAAAAAGGGGAGATTCAGATTGGATATAAGAAAGAAGCTCTTTACAATAAGGGCAGAGAGGCACTGGCACATGTTGCCCCAGCCCTGCAGACCTAAAGGTGAGGCTGGGTGGGCTCTGAGCACTGATGAGCTGTGGGTATCTCCATTCATGCAGGGGGTGGGAGCAGGAGGTCTTTAAATGGTCCTTCCAACTCAAATGATTCTACTACAATGTGGGATTTGCAAATAGGTGGATGAAGCCCAGTCACTGAACCAGTGCACTGGAGGAATGCTAAAAAAAACCATAATCATCTCACTTTGTCCTTTCAGATACTAAGGTACCTCAGAAGCCATCTTAAATATTTAAAAATGTAGATATCTTTTTCTTTGAGCTGGGGCAGTGCAGAGCCTGGAGCTGCCCTGCACAGAGCTCAGCCCTGCAGCACAAGGTTGGATGATGGGGATGCAGCAGCAGCCAGCTGCAGTCGACTTTGCAGCAGATTAAGCAGCAGGGGTCAATCTTCCCGCAGAATATTGTTGTTTTATCTCATAATACCTTTTTGTCCTGCCCTTTTGTTCCAGGGAGAACAAAGGGTGAATCCAACATCAAAGGTGACTGTGAGAGCACTGCGTCTAGAAGCCTGAGCCCTGCACCAAGGCTGGGGAAAGAGGAGCCTGGGACATGGCACTCCTTAATAGCATCTCAATAAATAAAGCCTGCAGGGCAGTGGAACCCTAAACCCGAAGCACTGCAACCATGATGCAAGCAGCCAGCAAAGGCTGTTTTCTCGCACCCATCACACAGCAGCTGTGGCATTTCCAGCTCTGACGTGGGTGATGCTCCATATCCATGGTGCCACTCACTTGCCTGGAAAGCAGTGATGGGCACATGTGCATCGTGGCTCTGGGGTGAAAGAAGCTGTGCACCTCCTTTAAGAGCAGCTAAAGTGTCTGGAATGTCAGGCTTGCAGGAGTGAAGGAGGATGGATGTGCTCTGTGCACCTGATGGAGCTATGGGTGTCCCTGTTCATCACATGCAGTGGGACCAGATGGCCTTTAAAGGTTCCTCCAACTCAAACCATTCTATAAGAGCCATCACAGGAGCAGCCCCTCACCCACAGCTGGAGCTGGCAGGGGGAGGGAATCACTTTGCATTTGCTCTATGTGTGTTGCAACCACTGAGTATGGAAAGGCATGATTAACACATCAGCCTGTTTTTGACAAGATGACCACATGTATCATGCTCAGGTGCGTGATCAAACACCAGCTACACTGTGCTTGGAGGTGCAGCACAGGAAGGTTTTCTCACAGCAATAAACCTGAAAGACCAGGATGGTATCAGCACAGCCCACGGAAACAAGGAGCTATTGTAACTTTCAGGCTGAGGATGAATAAACAATGATTACATGTATGCAATAAAATTATCCTCATTAGCCAAAGAGGAGCACAGATGAAACAAGATCCAACAGTCCTCCAGAGTGTCCAGCTCTAAATCTGAATGCTCTGCTCTGAGCCCTAGCATTACTGCAGCTCTCTGCAGCACGCCTGATGTACCAGGCCAAAAGCACGCATCTTATACATGCCAGGACTGAGATCCATTAACAGCACAGGTAATTGGGGCCTATAATTAACTTCAGGGACAAATAATAGCGTTTATAAGTCAAATTCACCCAAGGGCAACCACGGCAAAATGCTACTCAGCTGAGTCATGGGGAAAATTGGCAGGCAGGGCGAATCTTCTTCCAAACCCAGAGCCATCGCCTTTCCTCCCCCGCTGCACCTCGTATGCTGAGGGTTTGCAAGGAAAAGCTGCAGGGTGGTGCTCAGCTCATGCCCCAGAAATCTGACATGGCAGTGTAAAAATGAAGGTAGATGTAAGGAAAAGAAAAAAGTAGGCGGGAAGGAGGGAAATCCTTCCTCCTTGTTCCACAGCCCTTCATCCTGGAGATACATCGTCTGTGAGATGATTATGTAAGCGAAATCTCTGCAAATCTTTACCAAAAAAACCCATAAACTGCTTACATCCCCCCCTGCCCCTCTGGGTAACCTTTTGCAGATTTAACGGATGAGCAGACGGAGGCTGAGCACAGTGCTGGAGGTCTGCCTGCCCCCAGCCAGGCTCTGCACTGCTTCACAGGAGCTGCAGCTGCAGCCAGAGCCACACATGGGGATGCTTTAAGAACCATCTGCTGCAGTTTACGATATTAGGAGGCGAGGTCGAGGGGCCTGAGCAGCTCGGAGCAGACAGAAATCAATGAAGAGTTGCATATCCCTGCTTATATCAACCTCATGGCCTCACCCAGAGCTTCTGCAGCACCTACTGAGGGACTCGGGCTTTGTGTCATAGCTTGGGATGCAATTTCCACTTATAAAGCACAATAAAAAATAAGTAGGCTGTCATTAATGCCAAATACTTCTTCCACCAAAATATAATGCTTCTCAGCCCTGCCATTACAGCACTCTCACCACTGAGCTAAGGGAGCGATGCTCCACGGCTATTGATGGATAAGAAATGAAACCACAGTCCCTGACACTAACAGGACATGGGCGCATTGAGCAAGTGATGAGCCAACCTGCAGCACAAAGCCCATGACAGCACCTGGCCTTCACCACACAGGTCTGTGGTTCCTGGTGCACCTCAGTGTCCCAGAAGTGCCAAAAAGAGATGATGCTTCAGCACGCTGCACCAAATCCCCCTGCAGATGTGAGCATCCTATCCCATACCTGGCTTTCCACAGTCCTGCCCTTGTGACACCATCATTATCGTCCAACCAAGACCAAACTGAACTCTTTCCTTCTTATTTCAGTGCGTCAAATTACCTCTAAAGAAAGCAAAACCTCGAAAGGAGAGGTTTTGGGGAGAAACAAATTGTCCTCCCTTGGCAGGGAGGCAGCGTGAAGGAAACTCAGTGCAGCTAACTGAAAAGGAAAGAGAAGTTCCTACTGTCCTTGCACATCTTCACCCAGAGCTCTATGCAGGATGCCATAAGCTGCAGGCAACTCAACTGCACGCAGCAGTGCTGAAGGAACCTTCCCACACCCACACTGCCCTCAGCCAGACACCCTTGGCTACCTCTATCTTTGCTACGGGCTTGAAGCCCAGTGCTGCAAGTGCTCTGCAGGTGCCAACAAATGCCACCATCACCCTTCCCAGTGCAAGATGCCACCCCTCACCTGGCATCGTCGTCGCGGGCTATCAGAAGGCGCATGTGGCTGGTGGCTGATGCTGTCCTCAGGATGTCCACAGCCCTGCAGGACAAGAACCACAACGTCTCAGTGCCGAGTCAGAGTGGGGCTGCATTGTTTTCACCCAGCCATATGTCAAAGCTCACATCAAACTTGTCTGTTTTCACACACAAACTTCTCATTTGATGATTCTTGAGTTGGCCCTTGGGAACAGTGCTGGGTGCAGAATCCCTTTGTTTGCAACAGAGCACGGGCAAAGCAATGCCCTGCTGTCCTCCATGCAACCTACAGCCTAAACCACTTCACAGAACCACACAAAACCAAGAGGAATGCAAGATTTCTGTCTGGATACGGTACCTCTCGCTGGTAACCCCAATTAGAGAATCTCCATTGACCTCCAGGATCTGGTCTCCTGGCTGCAGGCGCCCTAGAAGAGAAAACTAATGGATAAAAACTGCAGAAAATACAGCTTGAAGGGACTTGGAGAGGTTGGGCTGCTCCTGCCTTTGCTCAGAGACAGAATGAAATATGCATGGGTCTCTGAGATGCTCTCATCCAACCTGTTTTTCAAGATATCCCTAGATGAAGTTTCTACCACGGCCCTGAACAACTCCGCCAACATCAGAGGCCTTCTATGCTGTAAGGAGGAACGAAGACAAAGGCAAAAGTGACATAAAACTTTTGCTTAATTCAATTTAAGGTCAAGAAAAAAGCCCCCAAGTGGCACCTTCACCTGTTCTTGATTGTTCTGCTTTGGATGGAAAAATTATGTTGTAACATTGGGGGGGAAAAAAAAAAGTCTTCTTGGATTAAGTCCTAAAAGGTGAACTCCGCAGACCCTTTGCCTAATATCCACTGACCTGGAGAAGTCATCCCACTGCCGTATGCAATGCCATGCAATCACTGCAAGCAGAGAAGTGGAGTGAGCTTCATGTGGCGGGGATGGAACTTGGCTTAAAGACTCAAAGCAATCCTGTAAAAGCTGCAGAGCCCAAAGGCAAGGCTGCCCTCCTTCACTGCAGTGATTATCATTGCTAAACCCAACTCTGCTGCTGGAGAATCTAGGAGGAAACACCCAAAATGCCCAACAAAGCAGCACATAGAATATACCATCCTCTGGCTTTTCCAATCGCCCTCTTCCATATTTCACTCACCATCAGCATAAGCAACACCCCCTGGCAGGATCCTCTTGACATAAACTCCATATTCTTCTCCAGTGAGCTCCTTGATGCCACCGATCACCTTAATTCCTGGGGGAGGAGAAGCACCATGGCACAAAGGCATGAACTGGCTCGCTCTCGGATCTGACTTGTTGCAAGCCATACCTGTGATAAGTCCTGCGCACCTCCTGTGCTACACCAGCAGCAGGGTGAGGTCAATAACATAGGACAGAGGCCAAGAGCATCTGGGAGCACCTCCTCCACTTTGAGGAGCACTCAAGCCAGGAATGACTGCCTTCCAACAACTGAAAACTCAACGTTTGCAGTTAATGTGATCAATGCTTGGAAAGGGCACGATTCTGCTCTTGTGTGTGCCCCTGATGAGACCCACTGGGTGTTGCCTTGGGGGCTGTGCAGCTCCCCATGCCCCATGGGTTCCCTCACCACAGGCTGGCACTGCATGGCCACATCCCCGCCGGCACACGTAAGCTGGCTGGAAGAGGCACAAGAGACTTATTTACCCACTCTCATTAAATCCCACTTGGAGGATACAGGCTGCAGACAGAAGGATTAAAAAGCTTGGCTTTAATTAACAAATCTGTCCCAGGACCTGCCGGTCGGGCATTCTGCTGCTGTGGCCATGAGGGCAGGCTGAGGACAGTGGCACAGCAGCAGGGACATGCCCTAGTGTTGGCCCCAGCTCAGGACCTCTAGGGACAGCAACACAGCATCTACCCACTGCTCCGCACTCACTGTATCCTAAACCCTAAGGGCCCAACCATTTTCAGCTATCCCTGGGGAAAGTCCTCATGTTTGGAGTTCTCTGATGTTAAATTTGTGGTAGAACACAGATTATCATAATTTTTCGTTTCGGCCACATTTCGCACCCACTCACTGCTCCTTCTCCCAGGCAATGGTACAGGTGGTGAGGCAAAGGCACAGAGATGGTGCCCCATCCCTGCAGACACCCAAGCTCAAGCTGGATGGGCTCTGAGCACGGATGGAGCTGCAAGTGTCCCTGTTCATTGCAGAGGGGAGGGACCCTTTAAGGGTCCCTTTCAAATCAAATGATTCAGTGATTCCATGAACCCCAGCCCTGCTGGAGTGGTGTGATGCAAAGTGCATCCTGTAGCAGCTGGCTGTACCGTGCCCACTGGTGGAAATGCTGACCTATAGCTGTGAAAATGGGTGGCAAAGAGCCCTGCTTGCCACAGGCACAGGGACACGGGAATTCCAAGCGAGGGGGCAGGGAGGGATGGCAGCTCAGGTTGACAGTGAGACAAGCAGGGATGGCAGCATGCATCAGGGAAAGGAGGTACAGATGTACACCTCAGAGGTGGTGCAGCTGGGAGAGCATCCAGCAGCACCACGATGCCCATTCACAACCACCTCCCAGGTATCAACTGAATAATGACTCGTTTCTCTTTTGTGTCTGCAAATTGATTGTAATAATGGCTTAAATATAGCCAAAGTATCTACAAATCCTCCTTCATCTCCAACAATGTCAGGGGAAAATCCGATCTTGTTATTAAAATCAGTGATTACTGATTGCTCCTAGCCACACTCAAACTTTGACAAGGGGGAAAAAAATGAAACCAAAAACCCCTTTTCTGTCCCTAAGCAAGAGAGTGTTGCACCAAGGAGCCCTCACCTGGGCCTGGGGTTGGCACTGTGCAATGGGATAGGATGAGGCTGGCAGTGATGAACACAACCTGTCCCATATGGAGGTCCCAGCCCAGAGCAGGCATGATGCTCAGCCCCACCATCCAAAGCCCTTCAGGGCTTTGTTTGGGATTTCTGCAGCTTGGCTAGCATTCTCGAGAGCCCTCATGTTTTATAAACACCCATTTCAATTGAGTTTCTATCTGAGATCCAGTTTAGGTAAATAACGGCTCTTTAATTATCACAGCATCAAAGTCCCGGTATAATGCTTATTAAGTCATACTCAGGGCCAGATAATCTAGCCTATTTTAGATCTCTGTCTTTAATCTTCCTATTCTGGCAAAGGTCCTGGAGCTGATTCTGATGACCCCCCTCATTTCTCCTCTGAAGAAGAAAGACAACTGGGAAATTCCAGGTGGGAATTCAGTTTACACAAACCAAAACAAGCAGTTTTCTCCAGGTTCCTAGCAATCCTACATCATTCTGAGACCCTCGAGCTTCCCAGCTGCATCTAATCCCGCTCCCACTAATGCCAGTGTTGTAGTTCTCAGCTTCTCAGCCCTATAATCTCACCTGCTCCTGGCTCGCCAGGCAGCTCTGCACCACGGGTCAGGGGTGTGCTGGCTAATCCGGTTGTTTGGCCCAACAGCCTTCATCCCTGGTCATCCCAACAGCATGAGCTCTGCTCCAAGCATGGGAACCCAAACCCTCCTCTTTCCCTCTTCTACCACCTCACCACTGAAATTCCCTTTCTGGGGGGACCCCAGCCCCAGCAGCACCGTGCTGGAGCCCTGAAAGTCAGCACAGGGTGAGGCTGCCTGCTTTCTGCTTAAGCTAGCAATGTTCAATTACATTTCCCGTAATCCCTCTGTTGATCTTGTAGCCCCAGCCAGCTCTTTCTGTCTGAAGGAAGGGACAGATTGCAGGTGAACTGCTCCCTTCCCTGTCCTAAGAAGATGAAGGTCAAGATAATGGGATCTCAGCATTTCTAAGAAATGCTCTTTAAGCATCACCTCCCTTTGATGACAATTCCTTAATTCCAAACCCTGGTTCTGGAGCCACCAGGTAACCCCTTTGAACTCCTTCCCAGGTTCACATGTGGGTTTCCACACCAAGCAGTGAAGCCTCAGACTCAGGCCAAGTGCTGACCCACTTCACCAGCACCAAGTAGGCTGCTGCTGCCCAACAGAAACCAGGCTGCAAAAACACCTGGATCCACAGGGAAAAAGCCTGGAGAAAGGTTGTGATGGCACTAGAAGACCCACACGGTTACACCTACCAGCAGCACACCATGAGACTGCTTTCCCTGGGTCTCCTCCCTTAATAAACTAAGCTAACCCAACAGCTAAAATCCCACCAACCCAAATCCACCAAAAATCATCAACCAAATATACCTCCTGATATTAAAATAGCCAGCAAGCAAAGAAAGTTCTGAGTGCCCACAGGTCTCTCATGAGTAGAAGACCAAGAGAGAAGAGCCAGGAAACCTCATTAGCCAAGAGTTGGGAACAACCTCTAATTAACAGGTGGTCGCAGGAAACCCAAGGAGGTTGACTCCTGGGATGGGTCCCCAGCTGGTGACCTGGGGACCTCGGAGGCTCAGCAGGATGATTGCTGCTGGGAGCACACACAAGGGTGGCAGGAGATGCTATACTGGATCCTTTGCTGCTGACTTCTACGAGCCTAAGGCAGTTTCTCATGTACAGATGGGTATGGCCATCTCCTTTCCCTTTTCCCTGTGCTTTGATGTTGGGTGCCCTACAAAGGATGGCTGACTCACTGTGCTCACGCTCATACCTCTGGGCTGGAGTTTCCAATGGGATCCAGCCTGCTCTTAGGTAGCCCCATCTCCAGGACTTCCTGGGGCCAGGACACTGGCATGGGCATAGAAAGTGCTTGGGAATTTTTTTGTTTGTTTGTTTTAATGTAGAGAAATCAAAATCTGCAGAAAGGTGTGGAAAAGCCACCCCCCCCCAACCCTATTCAGACCCTACTCCAGGGTTCCCATGCAGCCACAGCGCTGCAGCTGCTCATATGTCACCAATAGGGAATTGGTATTTTGACCTTGTTTTAATGCCTCAGCTGTGAAAGGTGCTGTCAAATGTTCAGCACATACAGGCACAAGAACCAATATCAGGTTTCATAGGGTCATGGATGGCTTAGATTGCACAGGACCTTGAAGATCATTGAGCTTCAACCTCCCTGCATGAGCACATTTATCAGGCTGCTCAGGGCCTCATCCGACCTTTCAGATAGGGAACAGATCATAACACTAATGTTGTGACATGAGGGATGCCGGGGTTTCCTCAAATTGAGGTCTGGGGGGACTCAAGACTCACCCAGTCCATTGGCACAGTCGTAGAATTCAAAGCAGTGCACAGTTCGATCCATCCCATACGGTCCCATGAGTGTCCTGGCAGAGAGAGGAGAGGCATCTTTCTTTCTTGGGCTGCCATAAATTACCACCCATGTGTCCAACAAACCCAGAACAGCCCTGCCACCACAGCAGGGGGTTCCCATGAGATGACCAAAGGGATGACCAGCTGAGAGTTGCGTTGATATATTAAGCCCATGCTGGCAAAATGCAGCCCCCCTGCCACCCCCAGGGGTTTATGCAGCTAAATGAGAGAATATGGGCAGTGCTGGACATCATCCTCCCCACCCAGCAAAGCTGATGGACCTGTCTGCGATTCATTACCCCAGATTAACAGGGCTGGACAGCTGTCCAGCTCTGGGAAATGAGATCAGGGCCAGACCAGTGTTCTGAGAATATACCAGTTTCACAAATAGACACAGTCCAGAATGAGGAAAACCAGGCGAAACCTACTGCTGGTGTTTTGTAATGCACACACAGAGCAGAATGTGGGGAGGCAGGGGCTGTATTCCCACACCTCCACCCCTCCTGCAGGGATCTGCTTTGCCAGGTTGAAGGTGGGAGTTTCTCAACACAAGCCAAAGCAGGGGAGAGGGCAACTGAAATCTTCACTTTCCCCATGCCAAGTCACATCCTCTCTACGCTCCCTTCTCTCTTTTATATTACTGTTAAAGTTTAGTTTAATGAAGCCTGGCTTTAGAACACTGCTCTTGCTCTGCAAGGCTTCACCATGGGAATGGTGGACTTTGGTGTGATCAGCCCACAGCCAGGCATTGTGTTATCAGCTGTGGGACTGCTCTCCCAAAGTGCTCATTTCCCAAAATTTCACTTGCAAGGCAAAAAAACAGAACTTCTGAATCAAAATTAGGTCCTGAATTCTTGCTGGATGCAGCTGAGGAGGACACAACACATAACTCTGAACCCAGTAAGAAGGGAAGGAGCCTCAGGGACTTCTATCAGCCCTCCAAAACACCACTCAAAAATCTCCTCATTAAAAACCACCTCCCCCCTTGATGTTCTTGCAACATTCCATGCATTCAAGAGACCAGACAAGCAGCTGGCTCCATTGCACACTGACAGAAGATACATTTGGAGGGTGCCAGGAGGCCATCCCAGCCCCAACCCCAGCTGGGGGGTCACCATCCCTGTTTTCCAGAGTATTTTGATTGAATGTTTGAGAAAACACCATCAGGACCAAAAATAAATGGCTCAAACCAAGCTGAAACGCAACGCAACAATAGAGGTGTCAGTAGAGCAGATGCCTGCCGATGCCATCGGATGTTGCCCCCAAATCAAGGAGCCCAAAACCCATTTCAGGAGATCCCCAGAACCCCCCACACCCCCTCCTCGACCTCCCCACAGTGTCACCTGCTGATGATGATGGCTCCCTTGTAGAGCACGGAGACGGCGGGCATCTTGCTGGTGGAGGCAACCCAGCCCGGCCGCTCTGATTTGGCAGGAATCCGTTAAAGCGAGGCAAAATGGGGAGGGCAGGGGTCACGTGGTGCCCCCGTATGCATGTTAATTCCACCCAACATTAACACAGATAAGCTAAAAACATCTCCAACTTTAGATTAAAGCTTACGCAAGCCAAACAGAGCCAACGCTGCCCATCACGAGTGCCTTCCTGAGCAGGCAAGCACAGAGCTGCTCCCTCCTCCCAATTAAGAGTGGGATCATTATTTGGGCACATCCTATTGTTCACCTTCAGGCACACACCCTACAGTGATGAAGGGCAGTGATGAGTGCAGGACAGGCATCCTCAGCATCCCTAAAGACTTTAAGTCCACAGCAAGGCTTCAGAAGCAGTAACAGATTGGAGCACTCAACAGTTTAGTTTTGGAGGTTTTTGTTTGTTTGATTTTCTTTTAGCATCTTTTCCAGCCCACAGCATTTCCTACTTAATGTGAAGTGAGTTCAGCTGTCCCGCTGTCCATCAGGAGGTCAGAAGGGTATTCTGCAATCAAACAGCCTCTTCTGCCTCCATCCCGCTGTGCATCCCCAGCCCACATCCCCAGATGGTGGGACATGGAAACACATCCTCCTGGGACAACAGGCACCAGGACTTGGTGGCACAGTGCATGTCCTGCACCCTGGGATATTCAAGCTCCATTAATGCGGTTTTCCTTCCACTTTAAACACTCTGTCAAGTATTTACTTGGACCCAATGCTTCTGGATGCTACTCCCATGGATGAGAAGTGAATGGGAGAGTTCCCCAATGTCCATGTGCCACCTTAATGGACAGTGTGAAGCTACTTGTAGAACAGCAAAAAGCATAAAAGATCTTCTTTGTTTTCAGTGTGGGATGTTTTCAGGCAGCTTTTATCCAGGTGAGTGCAGGTGAAATACTAAAAGCCCACAGCAAGCCTTTGGGTAGGCAAAGCTCTCCTGACACGTAACTCATTTATCCATTTTCTGATCGCTCATAGGAAGAATGCCAACTGGACACCAAAAGTAGACGCACCTAGTGATATGCCAATGCAAGGCACTCAGCACATAACTTCTACAGGGCTGTGCAATGAAAAGCATATCAAGATAGCAGAACAACAAGGTCCAAGGCTGCAGCAAACGAGGATCCCCTCAGATGCCACAGCAGTAGGCTCAGAAGCTGCTTACCTTCAGAAGGCCTGCAAGGCTACCTGGTAGGCAGGGATCTCCAGCTGAAAAACCCCTACCTCCACTGCCAACCCTTAAATGAGATGTGGGAAGGGGTGGATCCTGTCTTCACACCTTCTGGTCACTCAGCTGCATTACGTGCACCTGAGCTCCCCTGGGTTGGCCCTGCCTTCCCACCAGGAGCTCAGTCACTGCTTCAGGCTATGACTTCACATTTCCGCTGCACACTGCATGAATCACTGGGACCAGGAGCAAAGTAGCTGCAGCATGAGGGTCTGCGCAGTGCCATGTCTCACTGTGCCCTATGGCTGGGAGCCTTGTTAGCAATGCCCTCCCCAGTCATCCCCAGCTATGCTCCAGGACACAGAGCACCCAAAGGCAGGCTCCACAAAGAGTGTCCTCCCACCCTGCACCTCCGCACCCAGCCCTTGGTGGTCCCAGTTCTGACCCTGAGCGAATTGGTCAAGAACAGACAGGGGGTTTTGTGGCTTCCATGTCTCTTGGGGACCAGGAGCACCCCAGCATAGTGTCTGCCTTGTGCAGGGCATTTTGGCAGCTGATCTGGTGCCTGACTCGGTACCCTCCTGAGGTTACATGATGGTCAGCATCGATGGCCCTCCTGCTCACAGCAAGAGAGTGCTTCCAACCCACCGCTGTATTCAACCTACATTGTTTTGTACAATTTTAGGAAGTCCTCTGGGACTCCTCATGGATTAATTCGCAGAATTAACCTTTTGACTCACAAGCTGCAGATTTCTCTTGAATAAATCAGTGCAGCAGCAGAGGAGGTTCAGGTTGGGTATTAGGAAATATTTCTTCTCAGAAAGAGCAGCAGGGCATTGGTACTGCTGCCCAGGGGGGTGGGAGGTCACTGTCCTTGAAGGTACTCAAGAACCGTGGGGATGAGGCACCAGGAGACATGGTCAGTGGGCACGGTGGGCTTGGACCTTGGGATGTGAGAGGTCTTTTCCAACCTGAATGACTCTGTGGTTCTATGAAAGAGATGGCACAAATGCTGGAAGCAATGCCTGCAGTGTTAAGTGTGTGTGTTTGAGGCTTGGACATTCAGTATATTCAAAGGCAAATCCTACAGCAGCTGTCACCAGACTGCCCAGCACTGAGGCCACCCAGAGCTCCCCTTGTTCTTCCCATATGCTGATCCCTTCCAACTGGCTGCAGTGGGTGCAGTAACACATACATTTGTCTGCTGAGTGGTGAAATAAGCTGAAATCCAACCAGGGAGATCAAAATAGTTCCAGAAGTATTTCTGTTTCTGGTAAGAACTGGGCTCGTGTTCAGGAGGGATTTATAAAGCACGTGCAGTGTGCCCAAGGGGCCTGACCCTTCCATGTCACTGCTGAAGGCAAAGGGGACGTACCCCACACTCAAGCTCTTCCCTCACTTGGAACTCAGCTCAGTCACCCAGAACAGCCCAGGTTCCACATCCCAAGAACCCACCGACAAGAATACACATTTTTTAACAAGTTAGTGAATGGAAGGTGCCCACATTCAGAACAAAGACATCAAGACCCTGGAATGTGTTTAGAGAGGGGCAATGGAGTTATGATGGGTCTGGAGCACAAGTCTGATTGGGAGCAGCTGAGGGAGCTGGGGTTGTTCAGACTGGAGAAGAGAAGGCTCAGAGAAGACATTATCACTGTCTACAAGTACTGAAAGGACACTGTGAGCAGGTGGGGGTCAGCCTCTGCTCCCGGCTAACAGAGATAGGATGAGAGGTGATGGCCTCAGGTTGTGCCAGTGGAGGCACACGCTGCCCAGGGAGGTGGTGCAGTCACCGTCCCTGGAGGTGTTCAATGACTGTGGGGATGTGGCACTGAGGAATGAGGTCAGTGGGCATGATGGGGTGGGTTGGGTGGTCTGAGAGGTCTTCTGCAACCTGAATGATTCTATGAGATGGAACGGGTCAGGTAGCAATGCAACAGCACTGGTGAGAATTCCTTTTCTATGCAGTGGAAAACTGTGAGTGGGTGCAATCCCCTGCTGTGACTTTCTCCACCTTTCCTCTATATTTTGGAGAGGAACCTTCCAGGAAAGCATCACACTGCGCTTCAGCCTCTTCCACATTTCTTCCTGCTGCCTCCTACCCGCCCTGCTTGTTGGGTGAGCTTCAGGAGGAGGTGAGAGGTGGCAGGAGGGGTGGGAGGGAGCAGGACAGGATGGTGGCACCCGCAAACACGGCCAACCCCTCCTACTGCCAGGTGCCAGACCTGGGGACAGGTCACGGAGTTGGCAGTGTCACCTCTCCCACCGGGAGCCTCGCATTGAGGCTTAGCAGAGGAATGGGGTCTGGGAGGGTTTGTGTGGGTGGGAATTAAAGGAGAGGCAGAAAGCCGTCCTTCAACAGCAGCGACTCTGAGGCTGCAGAAGGCAGCTGTAAGAAGGTCGGAGGTGGGAGGGGTGGCCTCAGCGGGACGTGGCACTGCAGTCCCTTCTGTGCCCCCATGTCCCCACCGTGGGA